ATGCTATAGTACGAAGGAATGGTTTGAAAATTCATGAGGGTAGGCCTTTTATATGCTTTCATGTTACATCATAGAAAGAATGACACTAGTAACTAAATTATATTTTTATATTATAGGTAACTATTATTTGTGTGACGGAGGATATACGAATGGAAAAGGATTTCTTTCACCTTATCGAGGTTATAGATATTGGTTAAAGGATTGGCGCGGCGATAATCCATCGCCTCGTTGTAAAGAAGAGCTTTTCAACATGAGGCATGCTAGAGCTCGTAATGTAATTGAAAGGGCATTTGGTTTGTTGAAAGGACGTTGGGGAATTCTTAGAAGTCCTTCATGGTACTCTGTTAAGGTTCATAACAGGATCATTAGTGCTTGTTGTTTGATTCATAATTTCATTCGTAGAGAGATGGAAGTGGATCCCTTAGACATTGATGTAGAAGAACAAATGGAGTATCAACACGAGAATATTGATGTTGTTGAATCGTCGGAGGAGTGGACCACTTGGAGGGATGAGTTGGCCCAATCAATGTGGAATGCAAGATTTTAAATTGACATATTGCTACGTTTTGAAATATATTGCTACTTGTTAGATATAGAACCTTTTTGGACTTTATTTGCTCTTTAGAACTGGCCTAATAATATAAATTGTTGAACTGCCAGAAAGTTCTGTTTTTGTGACCTTAATTGCAAGCCCTTATGTACTCTTGACGTCTCTTTTGTTGTATATATGCTTTAGTTTATAGTAAATCTTATGATATTTGGTTCTTCCTGATTTTTTTAATAATTTACCGCATAAGTTCTTACAGGCGTAATGAATGATCAAATATCATCAAATAAGAGATCAAAAAAATCAAGCAACACAACACCTTCAACACGAAGGACATGGATTCCAGAAGAAGAACAAACTCTTTTAGAAGGACTTAAAGAGTTGTGTGCTAATGGTTGGAGAGGTGATAATGGTACCTTTCGACCAGGACACTTGATGGAGTTAGAACGTTATATACACAAACATCATCCTAGAAGTGGATTGAAAGGTGAACCACACATCAAAAATAAAATCAGATACTGGAAAAGATGCTATGGAAGTATAACTTTATTGAAGACTCGAAGTGGATTGGGATTTCAATATAGTGATGGAACTATAATAGTTGACGATCCAAAACATTGGATTGACTTTATAAAGGTAGTTAATATATTTTTGTTTTTTCATATGGTACTTTCCTTATTAGTTACTTTTATATACAGTAGCATTTAGCCTCTCTTTAGATCCTTTTACAATTAATTAATATCATATTGTTCTATTTTTTTAAATATTCTAGATTGATCCACAAGCCGGGAAAATGAATGCTAAGAAATGGCCAATGTTTGAGGATTGGGAAGAAATCTTTGGTAAGGATAGAGCAACAGGAGAGTTCGCTGAAGCGCCCCTAGATGCTACTGAAGAAATTCAAAAGAGTCAAGCTCCACAACATTCTAATGATATGAGTTTGGGATTTCCTATCGATGTTGATCTTGATGATGATGAAGAAGAAGAAGAAAATGTTTACCATAGCTCTAAAGTTGGTACTGAAGAAGCTGAAAATGCCACTGGACAAGGTGAATTTGCTACAGCTGAAGATTTCACCGAACCTAGTTCATTTACTAGAGCTGAAAATGTCACTGACCTAGCGTATTTAATGAAGGAGAAAATGTTGCTGGTTCTGAAAATGAACATGTTGGATCCCGAAAAAGTCATAAACAAGGTGAGTATTCAAAAAGATCATCTTCTAATGTTAACGAGAAAGAGAAAAGCAAGAAAAGGAAAAAAATAGTAGAGGATGATAGTGAGACATTTCTTAAGGGTATGATGGAAGTTATGAAAAACTTTACTGAAAGTCAAGATAAAAGAATTGGTTCTTTGATTGAAAAGTTGGGGGATCGTGATCGATCTGATGTTCGTGGTCAAGTTTATTTTATTCTTGAATCCCCTGTATTTGAGTTGTGCACCACAGAGCAACGTATAAAAGCTGCAATGATTCTCTGTAATGACGACAAAAAGATGGAATTATTTTTACGTATGGGTGAACATGATCGTCAGACAATGATGTGGATGGTTGTCCATGATAAACTTTGAAGTACTGTGAACTTGTGATATAAGTGGCTACACTAGTTTAGTAATTTTTACTTGAAATCACTTCAAAGTGTGACAACAGTCGCTTTTTTGGGCATCTCTAATTATTAATGTGCGCATGAGCATGTTAAATTTTTTTGGGTAACTAAAGTTTTATCAAAATATCTTAACTCTTGTGTCAATGCTAAGCACAAATGTAATTATATAGTTGTTATTACAACTCTTCAAATTCTAGTGTAGCCATTTACTTTTGAGATTCTGAAATGCAATTATATAGCTTCTATGATAGTTTTCTAATATGTCTTGTATTTCTGTGTCTAGTCTCTGTTTTTCATTGTTAATTCCTCTATGAGTTGATGAATGTGTGTGATAGAAGAGGTGAAGAAGTTCGCTTCTATTTGTTTGAACAGTGTGGCAGATTATTTCTCTGATCGTTATGCTAGTATTGTTCCTGTTGGTGGAATGTCAATATCTCCTACATTGATCCTGTTGGTGGCATTTGATTCACTCTATATTGCTGCTCGAACTCTCCAAGTGCATGTCGGATCCTCCGAAAGTAGTGCATTTATGTCTCCTAAATGATTCAGATTGTTAATATCGAATACCCCTGCCACCTAGCTAATTCTGCCTTATCAATTTTTTATGAATGATGGCTAGATTCTTGAAGTCGTGTTGAATTGATGTAGTTATCACATTGTTTGTATCGGATTTCCCCTGCCACCTAGCTTATACTGCCTTATCAGTTTTTCGATGAATAAATGATCACGCTGAATTGCCTTCAATATTGCTCCTGTGTTTTCTTGTCCTTTGGATTTTGATATTATTTGTAGTTTCTTGTACTTCGACTATCATATTATTTTGTTGTAGTTACTGTCTTGTTACTCTCTGCTGTTTTTGTTACTGTGTGCTATTTCACAATGTTCCAAAATGGCGACTAATGCTTAAACTTGAACTATTTTTGTGTTTTCTATTGTAAATGCAGTCCAGTCAAGTATATTTAGCTTCATTTCCATCGGTTGTGAACATCTTTGTATATTTTAATCCGAGAGTTGGGTTACTTGGGGCTACCGGAGAGAGCTCTGGAAACATTTTGTTGGGTGAAGAAACAACCCCATCTTTTCCCAGATGATCATATTCTTTGTTCTACCATTGAAGTTTTGGCAGGGTCAAATGAGTTGAAAGTGCCATTTGATTTGGACAAGTTCACTGGCTTGGCTAGTCGGGGTGTGTATGAAGCAATGTTAAGGGGTTATATTAAAGGAGGAAGCCTGAAGCTTGCTTTGAAGCTACTTTCAATTGCTAAGGAATCTAACAGAGTGCTTGATACTGGGGTGTATGCTAAGCTAATCTTAGAGCTTGGTAAGGATCCTGATAAAAGCACACTTGTTTTGGTATTATTAGAGGAGCTTGCTGTGAGAGATGATCTGAATTTGACACCACAGGACTGTAACGCTATCATGAAGATTTGCATTAGGCTGGGAAGATTTGAGATCGTGGAGGGACTATATGACTGGTTCAGGAAATCTGGTGGTAATCCAAGTGTAGTTATGATGTTTTAGAAAAGAACCTTGTTGCAAAGGAAGTATATAAAGAAATAAAGTGTAAAGGGTATTTTTGTAAACACACTTTTTAAATAGAAATTATGCAAGGTTTATTTTTTCTAATACATCAAACCAAACAGTGTATAAAAAATAATGCAGACATAAATAATGCAAGCATTACTAATGCAAGCATTAGTAATGCAAGTATTACTAATGCATCCTATTTTGCATTGTTTTTATACACTCTACCAAACGAGTAC